ATGTCCCGGTTGTACCCGGTTGGCGTTTTAAGCTCGTTCTGGCCTCGTTATAGGTCAGAACTCATCCCGGTAAGGTCCTGGCTCATCGTAGGAGCAGGACGATCGAGTGACCGAGAACCAAGATGGTTGAAAACAAGTTGCGACGTCGCGTTCAGAAGACCTTGGCCTAGAGTAGAGGCAAGGTAGAGCCGTGGGACTTGGCCTAGTGTAGAGGCAAGCCGACTAGAGTCGCGTTAGAGTTTAAATGCACGTACGGGCGACGTGCATTGCCGAGTCAAGGGAGAATTCCGCTGTAAGTGAAACTCGGTCGAGGAAGAAAGAACCTCGCCTAAGGTCCGACGAAGCCACGAAAGGGCGTGAAAAGTGGATTGGAGCTAGAGTTCCTCGTAAGGCTGGCCATGGTCTAGCTTAGATCATGGCGCCGCACGGTTGAAAAATGTACGACCGTGACACTCATCGTGCAAGATCATGAGCGGCTGAATTTCTGTCTCTACGCGTATGCGGGAATTTGCCTCAAAACAAACCTCATCTATGAAGAATTTCACCTTCGTAAGATCTTCCTCTTCCCCACAATCTTTTTTAAAACCATTCGAATTTAAGACATCTCATCCTAACAGATTCTAACCAACAGCAAAAATGTTAATAGTTACATAAATAAGAGTCCATGTTATTAAATAGTTATTTTAGTTGTGACACTAAATTTTGTTATTTATTCTACATAAAATTTCAATTAAAAATGATAGGGTATTAGAAAATCCATGATTCCAAGTACTTGACCAACAGCAACCCAGACTAAATTGTAAATATATTTAAGTTGGTTGGAGTCTATAATCTATATTGGTTTGATACACATATATTATATTAAATTGTTTCATTTTCCAAAAATAAATTTGAACATTTTTTCTTTTCAATACAACATGTAGAAATGGAAATTTAAAATCAAAATAAATGTTTTAACCAGTTAAACTAAATTTAGATTAACATATTTTACTTTTTACAACCCAACTACATTTATCCTGAATAATTATTGTTTCGCATAGAATAAGTAAAATAAGCCATTAAATAGTTTTGATACATTTGGTCTTTGTAATGAATAACATAATTAGTTTACGTTTAGTTTATATAAAGTTCAAGTCGTTAATAGTATTTTAGATTTAATTAGTTGTTGTTTAAGGTCATAAGTAACCTATTTTAGAATTGTATTAGAAATTAGAAATTTTCACATATTCTTCAACAGGAAGTGTTTCTCTACTGTTTGAGATGAATTTTCCAGATATCTATGATATAGTCCATCTAAATCCACTCCATCACTTTCTTAAAATTATCCCTTCAAAATTTTAAGCCAAAGAAGCCATATTTGGAAAGAATAGAGATAATGGGAAAAAGGAGTAAAATAATGGGAGAGATGCGACGGCACCGGAACCAGAAAGATGGAGCAGGAGGGCAATTAGGCCTGCTTTACCTGACATGGATGACGCTGACTTCCAACCAAATCCTTCCAATATTACAACTTGGAACACACCCTCACTCACTCGTATAACTCACCTTCCGGACAATGGGACCCTCGTATTTCGAAATATCTCCACAATAATATGATATTGCACTTTAAGTAGAATCTTCACCCAAAAGACCTCATACTAGTAGAGATAATTGTTTTCGTCTATGTATCATGAATCACTCTATTTCCTAATCAATGTAAGACTTTGTTTGCCTTCTCTATTCCCATCCTTGATGCCGACACCCACTTTCCACTCCTCATCCAATCCACTCCACACCCTCCCCAGAAGGCAGTCTTTTTGGACCCACCACACCATACCCTCTTCTTTTCTTCTCTCAATCTCCCTTTGAATTTTTAGTGCTCTTAGGATAACTATCACTGCTCCCAGTCCCAACTCCTCCTCATATTCCAAACCAAATACACAACCCACATGCCAGATACTATTCCAATTCCTATTCTTCTTCTCAAGAGTGTGGACAAATCAATTTGCTCTCCCAGATTCACTCTCGTGTCTCTCGTTGGCTCAATGACAAATATTGGGAGGTAGTGCTTGGATTTCTTCACTTCATTAACATAACTAAACAATTCTTGTGCTATAAGCAATGGTTCTGTGCTGTTCTCTTCTGTTTCCATTGTAAATGCCAAATATGTGGATGCCAATGTTTGACAAATGCACTGCCCAACCAGCAAAGATCAATCAATGCATCCAAAGGGTTTCACCACAAAAGGATCCTTTCTTTTTCATGTCAAATGGCGACTGCTGCCTTACTTAATACATCTGTATCTGCCTTAATCCTTATCAAGTCTTGAGAAATTGAAAGAGCAACTCTTCCAGTCAAAAAGCCGATTAGGTCCAATGTGAAAGTACCGCACCGCAAATGCCAAATAAAAAACCAAGTCTTCAATAGGAAGCTAAATTTGTAAGATATGGGAGTGGCCCCAGTTCAATAGGGAGCATATGACTTTTATATCAAATATCAAATCATCATGGACAAAGAGAGCATGTCCATTGATTTACATAAGACACATACTGGAAAAATGGTAAATGAATGGAAAATCTGAACCTTCAAATGTGCAAGCCCAGTAGCCAGACCTGATATTGGTGTCGGATAATGAACAGATACACCTTTGGAAATGTCAATGTCACACATGCCTTAGGCGAGCAATCAAGACATCGTCCACTTCATTCATTACAGAAACATCCTCCACAATGAATGAATTTTAGTAAAGTTGTCCAGTATACAAATGTATGAGCATCATGCGGACATATCAGAAATACCCATCTTCCTCGTCACTCATCTCTAGCAGATAGTCAGGTGCCACATCCTCTTCAGCCCATTCATCTTCTTCTGCCTCATCTTCCCCTTCAGAAAATGCAGAAATTCTAAAGCCATTGAACCCTGTACTTGAGGAAGCAAGCTCTTCCACTACACTTTCCAAATCGCTACCAGCTTCAATGTCTCCATAAAAACGAGAAACTGAAAAACCATCGTCTTCATCCAAACCCTCCTCGCTTCTACTCGTCCTCCATCTCTTGGGCACCAGATCCTCCTCTGTAACATTCCCACTTTCCACGCTTATCCATGGAACCCATAAATCAGCGTGCCTACCCAACGCCCTATCTCGATCCCCGA